GAACACGGTGCCACAGAAGCAGTCGGGGTTGCTCTGCCGCTTGTCGCCAGGTTTGAAACCAAAAAGGATGTCCATGAAGGCGAGCTTAACCGCGTTGAGGAGTGCTTGGCTGGTGTAGGGGTTGTTTTGCACCCGCCGCCACTTGTCCATGACACGCTCCTCCCGCAACGGAGCACCATCCTCGCCAAATTCCAAAAATTGCCCAGCGGCCACGACTGCAGCCGCACTGTGCAAGTCGGCGGGGTTGACGTTAAACATGAGGAGTGGCAGCCCGGTTGCGGCGGCTACACCACGTAGATTGGCGTGCATGTTGCAGTAATAGGCATCTGTCATGTCGATGCGTGCGACTGTTCACCGAAGAGAGGTGACGAGGGCGTGCACAAGAGGTGACGTGTCTTGAAGCAAGCGGCGACGATCTGGGTGCATCTTCGGCAAGGCCAGGATGTCCACCATCGCTTTGACAGCCTCTCGTGGGATGGCACCCACTGCATCGATGTCTTGCTGGCAGCTCTTCACTCTGTTCAGACGGTGATGTTCTCCGGCAACAATGCAGCAGAGCGTGGGATGGCATCCACCCACTGATCGAGTGATGGGTTCGCCACGGCTATCCCGTGCATTGTGACGGTGATGGGCTGCAAGTCAGACGGCCGGTTCTTGACCTTGAGCCTGTAGATCTGCTGCTGCACATGGCCCAGCCCCAGTATGTTGGCTTCCAGCACGGTAGGCCACTCCAGACGCTGCCCGTCCTGATTGATTTCTGGCACATCTCCACCATCATAGCGTGCGAGAGCAGCCTCCAGGATGCGTCCGCCTGGATGCGGAGGCAGCAGCCACAGGCAGGGCAGACCAGTCAGAATAACCAGTGCGGTTGTGTGCGTGCATGCATGAACACCCAGCACACATGATCCGCAACGAAAGCACTGCATGCAAATTCTCATGTTAGTGTTTAGTGCTTACATTCCAAGGCATGAATGCAGTCGTTGCACATCATGATGATGTCGTCGCCAGCCCCGTTGGTGTGCACCGTACAATTCTCCCCAGAGTGCTCCACACGCATGCAGTACGGCACTAGCCACACACCCGGAGCAGTGGGATCCGGCCGTGGCTCCATGCCAGGTCGTGGCGGCCACGAAGGGAGCATCCATTCCTCATGCTGGCCGTCCACGTCTTGTGGCCGTGTCGCATCCACTCCTGCTTCTTCATCGGAAAGAATAGACTCCTGCTTGTCGTCAACACCATCTGTCTCACGCCGACATCACTGTGGCAGACTAGATGGGCCCGCCTCATGCGGTGGAAAGTCTTCCGGGAAGAGCCATATGCTCCAGTGTTGCCCAAATGGTCCCGCGCCTGTTGCAACGAACTGTGCTGCTGGGTGGGCTGGCGGTGCTCTTGGTCATCCGAACCACCAGAGTCCCCTGTCGTACCAGGACGCTTGGTGAGCCCCGTCTTCTCCGTAGAATGCCCATTGAGCCACATCTTTCGGAAGCCCCACGGCAAAGCTGGCTCGGGCGGTGGTGGTGCTCTGGCGGCTGTCACTGGTAGCCATGCGACGACTTGAGCTGGACGCGCCACTGCCAGCGTCCTCCAAACATCTGCACGCAACTGGTGCACGTTGGGGATGTCACCAAACCGGTAGCCGTGTGCCTGTACCGCGGACTTCATCTCGCTGCAGCAGGTGCAGACACAGGATGGCATGTTGTTTTTGACAGTGGCATCAAGCTGTTCGGCGACTCGGATCTGTACCCTAAACCCTAAACCTTAAACCCTAACAGAAGCTGTTAAGGGAATTACAGTGGGCAGAGGCTGACCCGCAGGAACATCTTGCACATGTTCTGGCCATGAAGCTGTACTGCTGTCTAACCAGGCACCCATACGAGGCTTGGTGGGGTTTGTCGGCCGCCTGAACACCCAGAAGGCAGCATCCAAAACTGCCTCCACAAGGCTACCCCTGCTGCGGCGGGTGTGTTGTGGTGTGTGCTCCTCAGATGACTGTTGCCGAATCACACGGGCTTGATGCTTTCGAGCTGCGTCCACTGTTTGGTCTGCCGCCACTTGCTCAGGTGTTCGGTTGGCTCGCACCTCTGCTACCCGAGCTGCATGTGCTGCTCGATGCGTGGCCACTTGCTCAGGCATTCGGTTGGCTCGCGCCTCCGACCACCACGCCCACCGAGCAGTAGCTGCTGCTCGGTCCGCCGCCACTTGCTCAGGTGTCCGGTTGGCTCGTGCATCTGCCCATCACGCTGCAGCTGCTGCTCGATCTGCCGCCACTTGCTCAGGCGTCCGGTTGGCTCGCGCCTGCACCTTTCTGGTTGCATCCGCACTGGACAGCTGGGGTGTCGGGGGGGAAGGTGTGGCTTGAGTCCGGCCTGTCAAGCTCAGAAGCCACGAGCCTCCACCTGCAACTGTACCTAACCGCCGACGTCCTGCATGATGTCAGGAAGAGGATTACTAGTCTGCAGCCCATGCAGGAGATGGAGCAACATCACGGGCATCAGTCTCAACCAGGACTCCTTACCGGAAGCAGAATTGTCCATAGAAATGGCCGGTCAGACTGATGTCGCGACAGGTTATCCTCCTATCCTCAAGGAATGCAGTTGAGGGCCAATGGAACACAGTACATTGATACAATATGGATGTATGTTGCGCAGCACCGCTGTTTTGTAGAATTTTTTCCTGAATCCGTATGATAAATTTATCCTGGATCCGTTTGACAAAATTGATAAATGCACTCGAGGGCCAATGGCACACATTACTTCTATACAATAACTGTGCTGCACAGCATCGCTGGTTGATAGAATGTATTCTGAATCCGTATGATTCTATAGAATTTCTGCGACTGTATTTATCCCGGGGAATGTTGCGGTGTGCGCGACTTCACGTCATTTCGTGGCGGAGCCGTTGTAGTCTAGTTTTCCACTGCAAGTCCTGTCCCACAGTGGAACTACATGGACATACCCACAGCCACGCCCAGGCGTACCTGGTTATCCTAATATTTTGTGATAAACGTTTAACCTTGCAAGTTCAAGTCGAACAACACAACTACGCGCGTCTGTTGTTCATTACCCACCACCGCACCCAGTCGTCCCCATGGCCTGATGGCCCAGTATCCGTGTGTCCCCGCCCACATGTTCAAGGTTCACATGCACGCGTCCACGCTTCATGCACACGCCCATGTTACATCCTCATGTCCCGCGTCCACGCGTCCATGCTACATCCACGTGTGGCTACATCCACGGTGCCACGGTCCCATGTGCCCACGTGCCCACACGCTCACGCGTCCATGTGCCCTTGCATCCTCGCGTCCTCACGTCCTGGTGTCCTCGCGTCCTCGCATCCTCGCGTGCAACTCGCGTGCGACCCGTGATTTGAACCCGCGACCTGTCGTCGTCGCGTCCTCGCGTTTCGGTGTGCAACTCGAAATTCGCGGAGTGCGACTCGAATCCGCGACCTCTGATTGTGAAGAGGGGGCGCGCTAACGGAAAACGCAAAGCTCCGGAACCATCCAATCGAGCGCGACTTTCCAATGAGCTCCGGACGCGAGCCGGTCACGGACGCGATTCAGAGATGCCTTCCCTCCGCTTCGCTCTTCGCTGCGCTACGAGAAGCTACGGTGACTCATATCTTGTCACCCTGGCGTCACCGGCCCCTGAAACTAGGGCAGAAGAATGTAAGGAACGCTATGCATGTATACAGAGGTTTTGTGCGCATGAATGATTTGTGATGCGAATAAACCCCCCACATCCATGTTGTGCAAACATCGGAGGTTACTGCTCTATCTACATTAAAATCCTACCCTGCCGCACTTGGCCCATCCAGCTACCAACTCATAGGCAGGGCATATAGCAGCATCTATCTGTATCCTTACAGATCTAGTAGATTGCAGCACGTGGCAGATGCTCGCCTGGTGGCACGACTGACCTTGCGGAAGCGTGGAGCTTAGGGGCATTGCTGAGGCAGGAAGGAGTCCAACCCAGCGACAGGCACTAGCTTACATAGACAAGATCGAAGCAACTAAGACGGTGGCAGCAGAGTCTTGGACTCCGAACACCAAGTAGTCGTGATACTGAAGTGCCTGGCCAGAGCACCCCGCCCGGT